AAACGAAAAACACTAGGATCTAGAAGAAAGTAAACACAATATGGCGGCCGGAAAAGGCAGGAGCAAAAATGGCAGTTTTATAGAGATATCGTGACTTTCAGTGTATGTTATCTTCTGTTTGATGATGCTTCTGCGGAAAATGTGACATTGAAGCGGCTGGAAAACTCTAAAATGAAGACAAAGTGAGACAGTAATATTTTAAAATACTGAAGGTGAGCTCTGCACCACGGGCATATTGAATCATAATTTTTTATCTCTAGTTCCTGTCCCTGTACCTTTAGTTGCGAAGCAAACCTGCAATATTTTCGGTTTATTTTGATATGCCAATACGCTCATTTTTTTATATTTTACGGGATGTTGTAAATTTGACAAAAACTGAAATGCTTCTAAACGAACAAACTGTAAACTGTGCTGACAAAATCTGAAAAACCGATCAAAGAATTAGGCAAAACAGCAAAACTGAAAATCCCCATGCCCCTCTTATTTGAAAAAGGATGCATAAACAGCATGCACAAGGAAAAAGGAACAAGGTTTCTTATACTTAAGTCAATTACTGTCAAACCAGTGTTAATGAGTAACCAAAAACTGCATCCATGGGATGTTTCAATTCCAAAGTTAATTTCTTCAAGTATAGGTCTGAAAAATATTAGGTCTTCAAGCTGTACAAGACAGAAATGGGAAGTTGTTTTCTTAGACTCCTTTACAATTCGAGTAAACGTATTTCTGGTGTTTAAATGTATTCCATGAATAGCACAATTGTCAGACGTGAAGTATCAGTCAAAAAGTCAGTATAGATTTACTTTAAATTTTTAGCCTTCTGAGCTGAACTGTAACAAAGCCATGCATAAAATGTGATTGTGTTTTCTTTATATTCATGAATGTTTTCACTTTAAAGTTTAAATATTGGGATCTATAGGTTTCCAATTTAGTCCATACTAAGGAAGATCTCTGAATCTCAATCTTGAAACCCTAACCCACAAGATATGTAGCTAAAGTAGATTTTGTACACATTAGGTGGCAGTATGTGTCTCTCTGGGGGGTAATGTCTGCAAGATTTGTAAGTGGGTGAAGTCTGCACTCAAGGCATGTGGCCCATCAAGCCGCAGGTTATCCTGGTTTCTGTAGCATGAAGCATCTATAAGTATTGCTACTTCCCTGGATGGCATCCATGTCCACTGCAGGTCACCCCACAAGAATTTTGTCGGCTTCCCCTGACAGATCGCCTCTGAACCCATTTCTACTCCAAGGTTGAAAGAGGCATTTTAAGATCAAAGTGCCTTATTGAGGAACGTAACTGCACACAAACCCAGCTAGGTCTTGAACCTGAACCTTTTGACCCAGTGTTGAGTGTATTAACAGTTGCACCACTCCGTCTCCACATAATTTGCCACATGAGGTCTGTACTACACTGTAGAACTTGATGATTCTACCACTCTTTGACTATTGTTGCTGTGTATGGGATGGATGTAGTGCCACAAAGAAAGACTACCTTGATAAGCTACAGAGACGTGCCGCGAGCATCATTGAATGTAGGAAAAGTAAAGAGAGCGAGTTGCATTTCATGTTTTCATGGTCCAGCCTACAGGCATGCAGAAGCTATCAAAACTGTATGTTAGTCTATAAATGCCTTAACAATCTAGCCCCAGAATACTTGCTACACGAATTCAATTCTCTAGACACTTCCATAATTATAATACCAGGAAAAAAGATCTGATTTGTGTACCTCTAGATAGCAAAAACTGCAAAATACCAGTCCTCTTTCCGATACAATGAAGCAAAAACTTGGAACTCTCTACCATCCAAAATACAGAATTCTGAAAATCTTTTGTACTTAAAACAGTCACTTAAAGTGCACCCAAACCCCCCAATTTTTTTTTGCTTAAGGAAATAAGGGTATTTTTTGGAGTATTTCCGTGCAAAAATTTTTTATTTGCTCAAATCTTTAATTTTCTTTGCCCAGTCAAAATACGGAAAATCGGTTGCCATCTTGCCCCACGACCGAGTTTAAAGAGGAATGGCTCTAGCAGGTAATGTGATGCCAAATCGAGAACACGAAAGTCTGTTTTTCACACATTTTCACTTGTTTGGGAAGGTTGTAGTTAATATTGTCTGAAAATGTGTTGTAGAAGGATGTAGCAACATGCAAAATTTGCAAGAGGGTACCGTGCTTCATACAATCCTCATACAAGACACCTAGTCGCGATATTTCGGACTAAGGTACTTCTGGTGTGCAACCCCAATAGGGACAGAGTAATGGGCATCCTTAAGGTCAACAGAGGCCATAAAGCAGTAAGGCATCATGAGACTTATTACACTTTGAAGTGTATCCATTTTTAAGTGGTTGTATTGCACATGCTTGTTCAGGTTTTTGAGATTGAGGATCATTTTGTGGGATCCGTCTTTTCTGAGTGGTACAAAAACAGGAGAGATAAACTCCCCTGGTTCATGACTGGTTTCAACAATAGCTGCCTTCTCAAGCAGGTTGGCAACCTCTTTAGAAATGGTATCATTTTCTTCTGCACTAAAACATTTCATTGCAGGGGGGTGTGTTTGACGAGGTTAAGTTTCAAATTCAATGTATTGCCCTGACACTATTTGAAGAATGTCAGTGTCTGAGGTGATTTTTTGCCAACAATGAGTAAATTTTGCCAGCCTACCGCTTTTGAAGCAACTTGTCTGTGCAACAAGGTAAGCTATTAGTGTAGGGATAAAGTCTTCAAATTGAGTTACCTGTAACATGTGAAGTTTAGACATGATATCATCAGCAGTGTTTATTTTTTGCTGGTTTCCTCCTTTTTCTTTCAGGTTTTCTGTGGTTTCCACCTGGACTGGAAGTGGCCCTTGCCTAAAAGAGGCTAGTTCTGTTTCTGGTGATAATGGAGGTTTTATGGAAGATTTTGAGCTATTGTGAACAGCTGTGTAACATTCTAAGTGATTCGAAGAAATCGCCACCAAGGGTTGAACGACTGGAGATGATCCGAAACAAACACAAGCCATGAGCAGGGAATATTGGGTGAAACTTGGCAGACTCCCTTGTGGGCTCTGAGGTCGTTCGTATTCTATTGTTGCACCCACTCTCTCAACAGGACAACATTGTGGCTTCCTCTCCAGAGAAGGCAGTAACCATAAAAACTGGATACTAACTACTGATCTACGTTAGAGGATGAGTGGGTGCATATCAACAACTGATAAAACTGGGTGCTCACTAATACAGAGGCTATCATATCATCACACAAATAACACCTTATAACAATATATTAAAGTAAATGCTCACGTTAATGTGTCTTCAGTATCTCCTGGTGACATCACTTGTATTAAAAAACACACTTGACTGTCTTTCTTAGGGTGGACTCAAAAACCACACATTAAAAAATTTAGCTCCATTTTTGTGAAAGCTAGCACCGTTTAATCTTAGTTGTTTACATGTACTAGGGGGAAAATTTACACACCCTTACGAGCAGTGACAAATGAAAAAGTGAGCAATGGTATTTGTGCTAAAATCAGGGAGTAAAGCTTCGAAACAATAGAAGTTTGTTAGTCTGAGTAACCAAACCATTCTCCTCGAAGGGCTGGTTGAAGATAACCTTTGCCATACCAATTTGTTAACTCATAGTCAATGTCCTTCAGAGTAATAAATTTCTCATTGTTAATGGTAGCAAGAGCCGATCCATTCAGCCAAACTGAAGGGGAAACATAAAAGTCAACATAACGACGTTGTCTCCAGCCTGATGCAACAGGCAGCATACCCTGTATGGCTTGCTCTATTTTGCTGCTAAATAGTAAATTACTACCTTCTAAATCATCAGGGCCATGAAAAAAGGGAGCTGTATCAACCTCTATATAAGGTCCCATCAGCATGTGGCCCCTTGGCATACCCATAAAAGACATCCCTAAATAATAATGGTAGCCATTTGTCTTTAAAAGTTCTGCCACAGATGAATAGGTTGAAACATTCCTATAGTCAGCCTTCGGAAGCGCAATATCAACATCACATGTCCAAGGTATGATAGTCTGACTTCTAACTGCGCCTAACAGTGTACCATAAATAACCCGATGTTCTACACCTAGTTGAGTCAGTGCCCACGTGATGTCCTTCAGCATTTGAAATAAAACAACGCCGCAACAAATCGGTGCTGCCACGTCAGGAAGCTCTGTTGGCTTAACATAGGGTTTCTCTGGGCATAATTTCCAGTTTGCAATACATGTTGTCCATTCAATTCGATTGTCCGTCACGATGCGAAGAATATTGAATTTATTCCCAAAAGCAGCGTACTCCGGGACAAAGTTTGAACCTTCTAAAGTGCCACGATCTACGCGCGTAATCCCACGTGTCCACGTGCAATTTACTAGCTTTGCTATCTTTAGTTCGCCTTTCGATCGAAGAAAAAATTCGAGCAAAGCCATTCTACCAAATCCGTTGAGAAATCCTCCAGTGCGATGGAACACATCTGTTCTCATTACGAAAGGACCGTTCGCAATATTACAAACTTGGTACGCAATCATTTTACCGTTCGCGAAGTCCGAAAGCGAAAATTTGTTTAAATAGGATAAATTTGTTGACGTTTTATTTCGAAGATGTGTATTTAGCACTGGACCCGTATTTCTTATATGAAGGCTCCATTTCTTTGTGATAAATCGACACCAGGACGAATCCAGCGAATTCTTCCTTTGATTATAAAGTTTTTCCCGGTACTCGTAACCCGCTTGTTTGTGTCCAGTCGACGGCTGAGAACATGTTGCGCCGTCGAAATCGATCATAACATCGAGAAATTCATGCAATTTTTGAAGGGAGAGTTTATCGTCTTCCGCCAAGTCGTTAGAAGCCTTCTCCTCTGTTTTTGAAAAAGGTAGAACCATCACGTAGCGATTATTTTCATCCGTCACGGTCGATGAGCTTGATCCACCGTTGGAGTAGACGAAAGAAAAATAATTTTGCCATTCTCCGGTGTAAGTGGGCTTTAAAGAAGCAACGCTACTGGGAAGATCATTTACATTTTCAGAAGCCACATTGCTTGAGTTTCCATCGCGTTTGTCCAATGTGGTGAGATTTAGCGTTTGTAAAGGCACAGAATTTGAGTTGCTGTTACTAGTGAATTCCAAAATTAGAAGATGGCAAACACCCGAGCACAAAAGCAACAGCGTTAATAGTTTTAGTTTATGTCGCCTCAAACATGCGGACAATTTTGCCATGTCCTCACAACTTTTTTTTTCAAAACACAGAGAACTACGCGCTGTTCAGCCGAACATGAACGTTAACCACAATGTGTACTGTAACTTAAGCATAGAACATAATATTTCGAAATTTGGATGAACACTTACGCAAAGTGTACAGGACGAAGACGGTGAGATTATTCACGAAAGTATTTACAGCTTTACTGAATCATCATCAGGTGCATTTATCCTCATCCAAAAGCAAGCTGTCCCAATAACATGTTAGAGTTCCTAGAGTCACATCAAGGATACTGAAGAATTCTAAATGACAATTGGTGGAAATATGACTGAAAAGTCAAAACAGCCACTGTGTTTGGGAAGCGGATCATCGAAAGCCAATCGTAGGTCCTCCAAACAATAATGATTGCGTCATGAAAGCCTCCGATTTCTTCTCGACCAGGAAGACGTTAGAAAGTAATTTTTTCTCATATGATAGAAGTTTCACTGCGATGCGTACTCGCTTCACGGAAAAAGCACTAGACCGCAGGAGGAAACGTTAGAACACTTTTGATAGCTAGCCCATCATATGGACGTCATGGGCTTGTCACGTCACGCAATCATTCCTGCCCTTCCCCATAATCCCATCAACGTTTGACAGCTGTCATGAACGCTGTCAGGAAAACTGAGCGTTCTCAAATACAATACATGAGTGCGGTGAAAGCACTCGGCTGCGCCTTGTTATTCCGCTTTAGTTTTGATGTCATTTCCATAAACGATAAGGTTCTAGACGATGGAAAATTGTGGTGGATTTGGAAACTGTCGGGTCAGGTAGTAATTTTGAGGGCTACTGGTAAAAGTTCGGATACTACGATATAATATACAATCACAACGAATATATGAAATACATATATCTGAACTGCGGTTATGAAACGTATATGTGCACGATCCTCGCAGTTAGGCACTATTTAAGCAATAGTGAAAGTTAGGCCTGTACGGGATTAGAACCACTCGGAATTTAAAAACTATCTGCTCAGAAGCGGGAAAGAAGTGGTTCGCTTGCTACATTCTGCAAAATGAATTAGGTTGCTTTGATGGAATGAACTCTCATGAATTGGAATAGGGTTATGTATAGGAGACTCGTCACTATCAGGAACCCATTGTGTGGTGAGCCCCTAAGGCGGCCCCCCTGTCACAAGGCGATAAGAATTTAAGTAGTCGCACAGGCTTTCTTTTGTTTTCGCGATTGTTTTTCTTTGTCCAAGAACTGTGTACATAATGAAGTATGAGGCTCTGAAAAAATCTTGCCCAACGAGTTTTAAAATATGAATGCTAAAAAGGACAAAAAGGCTTTTCCTCTTTCTTCGCGAAAGAAGCTAGAGTCGCGACAAGCTGATTACCCGTATTACTGAAATAAAAATTTAACAGGTAGAATTGACTTGAAAAGTTCAGGAGCCGCTTAATTAACAACCATAACAATTGCTGAAAAAAAAAAAAAGCATTCACTGAATTGGAGTGTCGACTATATTCCCGCACGTTTTATTTCTGTTTTGTTCCTGACCACTCAGACGGACTATACAAAAATCTTATTTTGCGATTTCTATAACAATTAGCTGTCACTTATTCTCAGACGTTGAAACGTGGGTTTTGTTACTCATTATTGTTTTTTTCTGATAACTTTGCTTAGAACTTCACACCTTATATTTATCATTTTCTGGGGAAAGATTTGCTAAAGCCGAGAAATTTTTGGGCGGAAAAGGCACACTGTGAGAAGTTTTTTACTGAAGCTTTGAAATATATATTTTTGATAAATTAGATATTTCTAAAAGCGGCTTACCTCATGACAATGCTCAAACCTTCTAAAGTGCCACTATCCACGCGCGTTATCCCGCGTGTCAACGTGCAGTTTGATAGCTTACTATCTTCAGCTCGCATTTGGATCGAAGAAAAAATTCTAGGAAAGGTATTTCAGTTTTAACGACAGCACTCCATACGCGAAAAAAAATTTATCATGCTTTATGTGTGATTATTAAACCTTTATACGTCGCTCCAAATACATAATTACGCAAAAGTGACGGTACATATTTTGCGTAAATAGCTAGTTGGTATGTCTTACTGTGCCGTGTTTTTAACCCTTTTCGTAAAAGCACTACTTAAAGTAAAATTTTTGCCCAATCAAAGCGCTAACTGATCGCCATTGAAAACGGCAGGTGTCTGCACTCACCAATCATAAAGCACTGAAAATAAATTTTAAAACACCTTGTTTTTCGACTAAAAGAGTGTAACTATAATATATATGTATGAATTCTACTGAACGAGTTTTCAGTCGCAGTTTTAGACTGGAAGACAGATTTTACGAGAAAACGTTTATTTCTCTACCCACTGGCTGTGTTCAGGCGAAGTGAGGTTTCTCGCTTAGGCGACGGTTCGTTTTCACGGTGTTCTGTTACAAGTCAGAAAACAATGAACGAGCTTATATCGACAGCTCCATTGTACACAAGAGATCGAGTCCACCTAACGAAAATAGGGAATATTCTGTGTACTGGGAAAGGCTGTATTGGCTGTGATAGGAAATTTCAGATTGGTGATCAGGACTTGTCGGAAATTCTAGGCGAAGTCGATTTGGTGGATTTTGACAAACAAGAGCCTCGGTTTCTGCCGAGTCCAAGAAGATTTTCACATAACTACGATAAACACAACGATGGTTGGCATGGAAACACAGCTTACAAGCGGGCTAAAACCAAGAAGGAAAAACTTCTCAGCAGATCGAAATTTCGATTGAAGGGGCTCGATGTTACCATGGATGGTGCAAAAGCTAAAGAGAAAGATGTTCAGCCCGCCAAGAATAAAACGAATAGGCCAGAGTCACTTGCTATTGACCATAGCACAGATACTAATAGATTTTGTTACAGAAAAATTGTGAAGACTTCCACTAAATCAAATCACAAAACAAAAGGAAGTAAAACGGTATCTTTTGCGGCCCCCTTAGTCAGGCAGAGGACGTTTTCTCTTGAAGGTAGTGAAACTGGAAAATCAGAAACGAGTCAAGAACGTAAAAATAACCGAAAACAATCGACTGCTCCTCTGCAAACCAGTGGTCATCACTCGAGATCGAGGGCTCAACCTCCGATAGCAGGACTGGATGCGAGTTTCTTGAAAGTCCGGCAGGGGATGTTCACTCTTACAGATGGCGAAACTGGAAAATCAGAAAAGAGTCGAGAACATAAAAATAACCGTAAAAAATCGCAAACCAACCATCGTCACTTGAGATCGCGATCCTGCCCGTTGATGCCAGAACCGAAAACGAATTTCTTGAAAATGCTTCATAACAGCAGCGTAGGAATATTTGACATCAAATCAATGAAGAGCAAAAAAGACTCTAAGTGGGTGAAAGAAGTTTTGAAATCAGGAGTAAAAGAGGAAGAGATATTTCCACACACTGACGGTGGGAAAACTACGAGAAGCAGCAACAGAAATACAACGAGCAACAACCACAAGGAAAGCACCTCAAATTCACCTCGGAAACCTAATGAAAAACAAAGAAACAGGGAAAAAGGCTTAACAAACATATCTTCGAAAGGCAATTGTCTTTCAGCTTCGGAAGATGAGCGTGAATCTTCCGTTCTTGTGATCGAGCATTCCCACGACAAAACGAGCACAAAAGATGAAAGTTTACACAAGCTTGGTTTTACAGCACAACGTAGTGAAAGGAAGAAGAACTTTCCCGATGTTTCAACACTGGAAATAGCCGAGAGTTTGGAAGGTTTTGTTCAGCTGGGAGTTATTAAACTCATCTGTCAGGAACACGAAGGCTGTTGGTATATTATAGTGTCCAGCCGGATTATTCGTGATTTTCTTATCCAAAATGGCGTAAAAATGCGTGGAAGGAACTTCGAACTGATCGATTGTACTAGGAATTCATATTAATCGGTCAGTCTTAGAAATGTTTAACACTTAGCTTGATGTTGTGATATGAATATAAATTATCCAGCCAAAAGGTTGCCAGAATAAAAAAAATCTTATAGGCGATTAAATAAGAGAGTGGTATCTTGATTTATTGCATCTATTTTGAAATCACAGATGATCTTTGCAATCTGATTGGCTCTCAGCAGTGCAAGTTATTTACGAATCGTTCCACTCTTTTGGCTGTAAATCGCATTGTTTTCCCAGCTAAGAAAGCAACATCAAAACAAAACTACCAATCAGCAACCGTTCAGCAACCGAATCTTGCCATTGAGGGGGCCTGGAGCTGAGAGAGTTTGGAATTTGGAATTAACTGATAAATACATTTTCATTTTTGGAATCGTCGTTTAGTTAGCAGATGTTGCATACTCATTTGTTAACGCGGAGAAATCTATGTCAAACGGGCCCGTTATAACAGGCGCTTCATATTTTAAACTCTTTACCCCCCAACATCAGTATGCATAACCTTCATACATTTCCTGAGGTGCTGACAAGGAGAATTTGTTTAATAATCAAGAGCTTTTTTAGTTGGTGATAATTTTCTTTATTCTCCTGCTCTTGATGTTTTATTTAGGGGTGATATTGTAGGGAGAAAATAGAGCCAGATACTCATGGGCGTCAGAGAATCAAGCAATCAGAAGCCTCACATATCGACTCAGTAAAACGGACTTGCATTTTGTGGATGTGGATTCCAAAATAAAGCTTCGGTAATTTTCATCAGTACTTGGAACATTTTTGGAAATCGGAGTGACATCAGCGGAAAGCGTCACGCATTAGACTTCTAAATTGCTTTCGCAGATTCTTGCCCAGCCTCCCACTCTTCACAATTCACCTAATCCGTGAAATGGACCGATGCATCCTATGTGGAATATTTTAAAAAAACCTGCTGATAAAACCGGTCGTTTTAAACAGTTTTCGGCAGCGAATGAAACAGCATAATTCAATACGGTTTGCGATTTTTGTCTAAATAAATGATACTATTGATTTAAAAAGTTACGCAGGTGTGAAAAAAACTCACACAGGAAAGCTGTGGACAATCGAATAATTAAGGCAAGCAGGGGAACCTGCTCTCACCCTCTCTGGGTCACAATCAGTGAGCGGGATTTTGACTTTGCTCTACACATCCGACCCAACCCTGGTGATCATTAGAACATAGCTAGCAGAACCGCGCAATGAAATTCAATATTTGTAAGCGTGCTCAAAATCCCGATAGTGCACGCTGACAGCGTCAGCAAATCGCTTCGCCAGAAATTTTTTTTTCGCGCGAGCGGCCGATTTTTAGCGCGGGAAAAATAATATATTTCGCGACAATAATGGATACAAACAGAAACTCGGCCTATTAGTCCGAAAACGAAGACAATGTTTCGACCTATTCCCTTGGGCTAGAGTTCTTAAATGAGGCAGAAAAAGAGAAAAACAAAGGAAAAGGAGACTCGGCATCAGCGCCGTCACGATTCGCTTCAACTGATATTGTTGTCCATTTTTCCCGTCGGATTTGATGCACAATTCTACCGGCTATGTTCTAAAACAATTGGTTCATGCTTTCAGCTGTGCACTATCGAGTTATGGAGCACGTGGGAAGTTTGGAGAGCACTCAAGAAGCTAGAGTTACGCTTCTTTCGTGCTCACCAAACTTCCCACGTGCTCCATAACTCGATAGTGCACGCTAAAGCATGAACCAATTGTTAGATAGCCAAACTTTATGAGCCTTCAACTCAACCAGCGGTAAACCGTGGTCGTCATGAAAAATGGCCGAACACAGAGGAAACACATCCTGTTGTTTTGTAGTCTGTTTTGTGTTTTTCCTCTCTTTTAGACTTTGTAATGGCGTTTTATATTCGTCAGCCGATGAAATGGTTCTTTTAGAAAACGATACAATCTCCAGTGTGATTCATAATAGCCGATCAGCTTGGGTGGTAGAATTTTATTCCAGTTTTTGCGGACACTGTCATGCCTTCGCTCCGACATGGAAAAAACTGGCAAAAATGGCAAAAGGTGAGGCCTAACGAATATGATGTATTTTTCGAGATGGCAGGTTACATATGATGCGATATGACTGAGGAAATCAGGAAGGAACAACAGGAGTGGATAATTCAAGATCTATCAATCTGCTCGCGATCGAATGTTCTTTGTTTAGATGTGATCTATTTTTAATGACGTGAAATAAGAGGGAACGAGATCTCTAAGATAATTGTTTCAGGGCGACACATTTTCCCAACTCTTCCCTTTTATTTGCCAAGAAGCGAATAATATGTTTTGTCAGGGCCAATCTTTTGAATCCAAGACAGACTATAACAGTCAGCTGCCGTCACTAGTTCGTTTTCTTTGTCCTGATAAATAAATCATCAGTCACACAGAAAAGGGAACTTAACGCCAAACATTTAATAGGGTATTTTTTATTAATCTTCATCCCTTGTTCGTTGCCTGATGCAGAAATCAGGCTAAAACGAAAGAAAAACTAGAGCTAAAGGGAACCAAATACGTTATATTCCTTATATTGGCCAACGGGATGAAAATTGGCGTAATTAACTTATTAGAAGAGGAAGTCTATTTTAATTTAAATTATAGGTAAACAGCTGGTTTTCGAAAACCTATTTGCGGAAAAGCTCTACTGGTTTTCATCTTTTTTTATGTGTTGATCCTTTCAGTGTGTTAAGATCTTTTCCGTTTGATTTTCTCTAAAGTCTTAAAACCAAATGATGACATGGGTCAACACGATTGAATGGACACGGAGAACGGTGTTCGGTCTTTTCGTTCAAAAGTCTTTTCGTCAAAAAGTATTTTCACCTAAGTCTGTTCGTTTACTTTTGAAGTCTTTTCTCGAACCAAATAAATAACTTTTAGAAGGCTAGATATATAGAAAGAACTTGTTGCGAGCCGCTGCCAGATGTGGAAGATATGGAAGCTGTTTGCTTGTTTCGATCAAAACATTAAGCTTGGGAAGAAAATCAGCCATGATTATTGAGGCAAATTTGTGCACAATAAAAAGAATATTCACTTAAGTCTCATTTAGAAAGGCTAGGGGCCTTTCTTCTTGAACCAAAAGCTATTTGCCTAAGAAGAAAGCTTCACTGAAAAATGAGGTCCATTTTTGCAAGAATGAAATACCATTTCCTTATCAATTTGCTCAGTGCTCAAATCTGCTGTAAGAGAGAGGCATATTTTATTGTGCTAGTCTTACTGAACAACTGAAATGTATAATATAATTTATGTAGAATGTAATTATTGAGTCTAATTATGATTGCTTGTGTGCAGATACGTATTATTTATTTTGGTGCATGAGTTATATCAATTATTTTGAGAGGAAACATTGTATCTGCTTTAGTTTAAATTAAATTTCAGGTCAAAACCATCTTAAAATACAATTACATACAAAGCCTGTTGAAAAAGTTGAATGTTTATTTGTTATCATTTTAAGCAATATGCAGTGTCTGTATATGTTGGCTTCATGCTATTTTTTATTTTCTTCTCCCCTGTCTTCCTCAAGTACTTAGTTTTTTGTTTAAATGCAAAATTTGCTTGTAGAAGAAGAAAAGAAGCATAACTGAAAGGAGTTAGAAGGGGAGAAAAAGATAGATTTATTGGGAAGTGAGGCAATTTTGTCTTCATTCTAGTTCATGATTCCATAATGATTTTAACTTGCATGTTCCTGTCTCATTTTCATGAAGTCCTTCTAACTCCAAGAATCTCTCTTGTAATTCTCCTGACAGTTTATCATACTTTTCAAACTAATTTTTGTTCTGAGAATTTTTGCATTGGATCAAAAGATAACCCCCTAAATTTTTTTTATATTCTCATCTCTTGTTTGCTTGATATTGTATTGATATTGTGATTGGAAAGTACGATATATACCTTGCAACTTCATGGCTCGCTAAATACCCACCACAAGTCACCTCCATCTGGGAATAGTTTGCTAACTGTTTTGATGATTATATTCATGAAATCAAACCTGTCTTGGAACAGTTTTGTTTATTAGTCCTTCACTTTGTTCATTCTTTTGCATTTTTTCCATATTAACACATTTCTAACTTGTTTAAAAAAAAAAAAAAATTTAGGAAAAGTTTAAACAGAGGACCCCTACCAGTATCCTCAGCATGGACCTTCAGCTAATTTATAAATTTGCTTTTTTTGTATAATAGTTGTGTTCTCACTTTGATCTAAAAATCTTTAATTTACAGACTGGAAGCAGCTTATACATGTTGCTGCAATTGATTGTGCTGAAGAACGTAATTTAGCAACATGTGTACATTATCAGATAGAAGGTTATCCTTCTGTAAAGGTAAGTGTGATGCACCAGTTATTGGTGCTTAGTTTAGTATGGTGACCAAGGTCATGACACACAATCGAACAGGTCACTGTTCAAGGTCCCTATGACACTTCACATGACACAGTTTTCATATGACTTAGTTTCATGGCTAGTTTCATCACTTGTAAATATGTAAACAGTATATCTACCATTTTGGATCTTGGCTGGCTACCTATCCTGGAGCTAATGGATTACTCACTACTAAAGACTATTTTTAAAGCACTGTATTCTGATAACTGGCCCTCCCATTTAAATTTGCAAGTCGTTAAACCCGTTAGGCATCTCTCTTCCAGTGTTGCTCCAAGGCTTTATGTTCCATTTGTACAGGGCACCTTTTAGCTTTCAGCAGCCATGATTTTTAACGAATTGCCAGCAAATATAAGGAATTGCACAGATTTTAAAGAATACTGCAGGCTCTGCAAGGCGTTCTTGAAGGCGCGCGCTTTGTCTTACTTGTAAAAATATAGAAACAACCACCACCACCAACCAATATATTCTGCATATTTACTTTCATGTATAGTTTTTATTACAATTTAGTTAGTCATTATAAATTAGTTTTAATATTAAATTTTAGTATCGTAGGCCTTCACAGATGAAGAGCCACACCTATTTATGTGGATATACTGTGAATAAACCGTTATTATTATTATTATTATTATTACATATGGTGATGCAGGATTTGGCTTGATTTTTTTAAATTTATTGGTGTCTCACTAACCCAGACATGGCAGCATTTCTCTCATTGGGTAATTCATTGATTAACTTGTTAAATGTCTTGGAAATATATAATTATATATATAGCGGTAGTCTGATTACTAATAATTACCAGAAAATATTTGCTATGCACATCTGGAAACTTATGACTCAATACACTGTATTCACCCTTGGCTGATGTTTTCCTCCAACAGTTTTTTAATGCATCTGCTCCAAGTTCTAATCTAGGCAAAACATTTACAGGTATGATTCCTAGGAAACAATTAAGATAACTGGAATGTAATTTGTTTTTTTGTGTGTCTCGTCATATAAAGTAAGAATATGAAATATTTCCATGGAGTGTTTACTTTGATTTTTGATTACTGCATGTCATTGATAAATGATTCTGGGACTGAGTTTAATCCAATTTTATTGGCAATCATACATGTACAAGAGATTAACAGAATGGGCCCACTGCAAGGCAGGTGTCCAGTTTTCCAACCACAAGTATGTTAACAGACTGAATTTCATAAGAGAAAGTCCTGTTTACAACAAATCAAAATTGTTGAACAAACTTTGAGAAAGGAAGCAGCCATATCCATTAAGTAAGTACAAAAAAAATGTAAAAAGGGAATGCTCAATAATGCAAATGGCCATGCTGTCCTTAAGAAGCACGCATGTCACAATATGCTACAAATGCTCAAATTGAGGTTGCTGATGACCAGTCACAGTGGAGAATTTTATTAGAGTTTTAATCTTGCTCAGTTATGTGAATTTTTGTTTATTGATTTTTATTGAAATTCATTTATTTTCATCATTTCAATTAGGAGAAAGAACACTTCTAGGTATTCTTCATGAAATGGTCAAGGTTGCTGAAGTACAAAAAACACTTGACTTAATTCGGGCAGATGTGGATTTTGTACCCATAGGGTGAGCTAGTTAAGAAATTAATTTAAATAATTTGATACATGCAGCCTCCAAATCATTGTAGGAAAAGTGATATAATTGTATTTAAAACCTAAACTTAGCTTGGAATTGAATTCTTCTTTATGTGCATGAACAACATGACAGAATGTCCGGCCATCCAAGGAGCTGACCCGACAAAACCTTCATTTGACCGAACATTATCTGTTGACTGGCTGTTATTTTGAGCCCTGCATCCTTGCCACAAATTTGTCTTACCTTCTTGCCCTTTTATGTATTTTAAAGCTTTTACTTATTCAGCATCATTATTGCCCCAATGACATTTTCTCACAGGAAAGAATTTGTCTCCAGTTTTGTGGAAGGTAGAACAGCGTATGATGAGTTGGCCTTGATTTTTGAGGTACCAACTTCATACATTGGTCGTGAGGTGAGTCATTTCAACACTGAAAAACATGCAAGCCCTGAGATTAAAAACTTCATTGTATAATTATGCTTCCTGCTGCAGTCAGTTGTTTTGATGACGGACATGTAGTTTAGAAACTCTTTAGTAAACCTTTGGTAAACAAGATCTAATCGTTAATTCTCCCCTCTTTCTGTGATACATTCCTTGTAAATTAGTTACAAGAATTCATTGTTAGATAAAGATGGCATCTTCTACGTGACAAGTTTGAGCATTCTAATATTACTTTTGACTGTGTAGCATTAATTTATAATTATATATATCCTGTTGTAGCTGATGATAATTTCAAACTACTGTGATTTATATACTCATCGTTAATAGATTATGTTATTGCTGGTAAAATAAAAAATTAACCAATGAAACTAATTAAAAACAAAAAGATCAAACTATTGTTCAGTAGCTGAAAGTCATTGGAAATTACATCAATGTTGAACAATGATTGTCCTATTTTTCAGGTCATGTTAGACATGATGAAATGCCTTGGCTTGGGTGTCAGAAGAGTCTTGAGTCGAAATGTGAGTCTCTAGCTTTTATCTTAATTCATGCTGTAAATGGTCTTGTGGTGTTATTTGGTAAACACAACTGTTGGACCATTGTGCTCAGTTGTCTCCTCTACAGACACTCTTTTGACTTTATGAGGCTTGTCCAGGATTACATGCTAAACTTAGAGAATCTCTATGTTGGTGGTTAGCTCATTTTTCAAGCCTTTTGGAATTGGGGGGAGGGGGGGGGGGCTAGTGCTAGCATTGAAAATTTTAGGGACATTCCATTCCCTTGCTCAGCACATTTTGACGTCTTGATAGATGTCTTCACAGCAAAAATTCCAAGTAGCTAAGATTTACCAACTAAATGATGTGTATAAGGACTTCTTATTACATGACTCGGGCAGTCAGAGGGCCAATAACTACAATCAACCAATCAAAATACTCTATTACCGGTCAATATTCTCTCAGTATTGGACCGGGCACTGTCCCCAATGGTCCCGAATGATACCGCACTTGTGTCCCTTTGAACTTCAGTCGTATGATAAATCTCTTATTAACCAAGCTTGCTCGGGACTGTACTGGAAGAATATCGGCCCTCGGTCCGTACTGTCAAGACCTCGGGCCGATATTCTCCCAGTACGGCCCTCGTGCTTGGTTAATAAGATATATTTAATCCTTTGACCCCAAGATTGACTAGTGTCTGATTTCTCCCTACAATGTCCCCCCTGAATCAAACATGAGGGTCACAAGAATAGAGGAAATGATCACCAACCAACAATGCTCTTGATTGTTAAACAAATACGGCTAAGAAAACCTGCATACTGATATGATGTGTAAAGGGTTAACACTCAATCTAGGTCACTGCACATGAGTAACTAAACAAACAAAGAAAGCATATTTTTCATGGCTTTTAAATCTCCTATGATGTCATGAGCTAGGTAGCTCTGGGTGAAATAACTGGTCATCCCCTTGTAATCAAGTAAGTTGATGGTCTCCATACTCCAAATTTTTAGAAAATACTGATCAATCATTTTACTCTTGTACACAGAAATTTTTGGTTGAGAAATATGCAATAAAGAAATTCCCTTCTCTTATTGTGGTCAGTCGAAGAGGCACATTTAAAGAACTTTCACAGTAAGTGAAAACTTGTTTTCTTGTGATACAATTTCTAGCCACATAGGATTAGAATAACCAGAGACCTTTTTGCGGGAATTTTTTCTCTTTTGTGCAGTGATGAAAAGACACATGCTAGCTACAAAAAGTCCCTTGAAGAGTTTTGTCCAGGAGTGAAGCCCTCTGTGGAGCTCCCAGAAATCACTGAGGCTATGACTCTGTACAAGAGGTTACATGGAAAAGCAGAGAAAAGAAAGCAAGAAGCTGGAAGCAGGTGGGAACTTATTTGTTTTACCTGTGCGATCAAATGAATATGTGAATCAGAAAATTTACTATTGACTGATTTTCTTACAAATATGTTGGTCTTTTTAATCAGCTGAGCCAATTAATTAGTTTTCAGTTATTTGTTCAATTATCCATGGCTGAAATGAGTCTATGACCTTGTTTGTGACCAAGTTTGTGCATAAATCAGTCTGTCACTTAGTTATTCATTCCATCAGCCAGCCGGTATTTGATTGGTGAGTCAGCCACTCCGTCAGTTGCTCAGTCTGTCAATCATTTTTTCAGCCAGCTAACTAGCCAGTCAGCCAGTCAGTCAGTCCGTCAGTCAGTTAATTTGATTTTGTCAACTAAGTTGAAATTGTAAATTGGCCACCGTAAAGAGTAAAATAGCTGACGTTTTGAGCGTTTTCTCTTCGTCAGAACGAATGGAATGTCAGTTAGTCAGTCAGTCGGTCGGTCGGTCGGTCGGTCGGTCTGTCTGTCGGTCGGTCGGTCTGTCGGTCGGTCTGTCGGTCGTAAAAAAACCTGTTAAAATCGTACAGTCTACACATGTTATTCACCAAACTACTTTTGAAAGACATACAATCATATGAAAGGCATTTTCCCTACTTTTTGAAACAGTTCCGAGGTATATATGCAAGACTTAGAAAGTGGATTATCTTTTATGCTGAACGTTGAAGTGGCTACCAAGCCGATAATCCAGGGGAATGAGTACTTGGCACTCAGGAACTTTATTGGAATGCTAGCCAAGGTAAACTGGAAGTCTCATACTGGTAGAAGTTCACTACTTGCCTATGATGCACTGTGTATCTTATTTAGCGATAACAACCATGGCTCACGGCGATGTTGAATTATTTTCAGTGTTTCCCTGGAAGACCATCACTGGGCCAGGTATTAAACAACATACACGCCAAGTTACCTCTAACGCGGACGAACATTTTCAGGTCGGAATACTTGTACAATGTGCAGCGATCTCAGGTGAGTTCTTAAAGGTGCACTTTTTCCTTCAGCCGATTCCCAAAAACATAAAAGTGTGGCCTGATTTGCGTGAGTGGCTCCTACCGCTATTGTTGGATTTCAGCTTAATTTAATTAAAAAAAAAAAAAAAAAAGCCGTGTTTCTTTCGGGTAAAGTTCACGTCAGATGACTCAGTCTTCGATTGAAGCGGTAACTGAAACTTATGGATCCGCGGTGTTAGACGCGGTCGCTGATTGGTTGACTGCAGATCGAGAGTTCTCAGTTCGAGCTCCAGCCGTGTTGTTCTCATTGTCTTGTTTTCATGGGTAAAATATTGCACTCTCACAAGATCTAACCCAATTCAGGAGTGGTGATGGGTCGCTGAGAACTGTCAGGGAACCTGACGAATTTCTTGAAGGTTATCACCAATTGACTAACGTCTTGAACTTTTGGAGTAAAATTTTCCTAGCCGTTTCTTATCGACAGTAATGGGCTAGTAAACCCGTAGGATTGAAGTTTACCCCAGTCTACCTTGGCAGTGGTATCCCCTAGCACCTCTTCCATACTTCTTCTCAGTGTGCCTCTATCTGAGTTCGGGTCAGTAATCTGACCACGATGAATGCAAAGCCATGCCTGAGTATTGATCGCAGTTGCACAATACAGCCCAGGAACCGCTTGCTCTAAAAGTGTTCAGCCTTAACCCAGTGTAAAAAAATTAAATTGGATTTCAATTTTTTGAAATTATACACAAGGGTCGACATTTTACAGGTTTTGGGGAGTTACGAGTCGCTGAGCTTAGTCATGTGATACAGTGACTGATTATACAGTGTCTCTACGATTCACTTGCAGGCGAACGTGAAACTAGACGGTGGCTCAAACGCCCATCCTCTACCCAAAAAGGTTAAATGGGTGGCTTGTTCTGGTAGCAAGCCAGAGTACCGAGGCTACCCGTGTAGTTTATGGACTTTATTCCACACGCTCACCGTCAACTGCGGCTCAAGCCACCAACTTACAGGTCTGGATGTTCTCTCTCGCATTAGAGAGTTCATCCGCTACTTCTTTAGCTGCGAGGAATGTAGGAAACACTTCACGGCGATGTCCGCTAATCTTAGTAAAGAAGTCCATTCGCACAACGATGCAATCCTATGGCTGTGGCGGGGTCATAACAAGGTGAATGATCGACTGGCTGGCGACCAAAGTGAAGATCCGAAGCACCCCAAGATTCAATTTCCTTCTAAGGACCTTTGTGAGGAGTGTAGGGTTCCAGGCTCTGACGATCACAACGTTCAGTGGAATGAGGCGGTGGTGTTGGAATTTTTGAAGAACCATTACGGGGTGGACAATATCAGGATTAAGAAGCCGCCAGCGCGATCTGCTCCAGAGCTCGAGGACACTGATATTGTAAGCAAACATTCCAAGCGTCATTCTGTTTCTCATCTCAGTGTAATCGGTCTGAGCTCTGTCGACGCCAGCATGTGTCTGATTTTATACTCTGCCATAGCTTTTGCTGTTATCGCACTGTATATTTATTTTATACGAAGGCGCCGCAGAACCGTAAGGCTTCACATTCACACACCTTAATCATAACAGAAAAATTCCCGCGACGCGTGGCGTCAGGGTACTTGTTGATTCGAGCGAGTTCAGTTGACATGGACAAAAGTTGTTTTCTTTTTGATCGTTGCAAGTGACAGCGTCAAAAGCTTTCATTGCCGGCTAAAACTTGTTGATTCTATATTAATAATGATTTTTATTTATTTATTTATTTGAATGCACACTATTTCCCAGACTAAATCTATTGGAGTTATTTTTAATTGCACCATATAAAGTAGTCGCAAATCGGAAGTGAAATTTTAACAAGATGTATTTTTGTAATGGAATTTAAAATTTAAGAGCAGAGATTTAAAAAAACAAAAATTTTCATCACAAGATTCTGTTTGTCTGTTCAAGGATGTACGAAACTAACTTGGTCTGAAATCGAAGGGAGAAAGAACTTTGATCACCTTTCAAATTTTCCTTGAGTTTGATTGAATGTTGAATTCAAAAAAGAAAAAAAAAAGATTCCATGAGTTGTAGCTCTAACTGTTGTAGAATTTTACTGGCATAACTAACCTTTCCTTTGTAACACCTTGAGCAAGGAAGCATTTTAAGCAAATATTTTTAGTTGGAAAAGTGAAACGTCTCAAAGTTCGAAATTATCTTAAGAAGAATGCTTCATATTGAATTGTTCCATGAATTTTACATTGTACATAATGATATATTGATGGATAGAGTTTTAGATTGAATTCAATTTTATTCTACGTTATCTAAATCTTATACGGTAAAAATATAAGAGCGTTTTGAAGCGCTATTCACTGTGATTTTACCAACACTGGAATCAGTTAATCAGCCCTGACAACTAGGAGCGAGCACTGCTGGTTTTATTTGATCACGTTCAGACGTGAACTCAGCACACCTCAAAGAATAAATTGTTGTAATGAATGAAATAATGACACTGAATTAATTGCTTTCTTAACTGTTGGCATCGAGCGCCGTCAAGATGGAATATCTTAATCATTTTCACTTTTAAGGAGCAAGATCTAGCTTGAGTATGGGCGGCTTTGAACCCTTTCACTCTCAAGATTCGATTGTTAATTCTCCCCCTCTTTCTGCTACACATTTGCTTTTAAATTGGTTACGTGAAATTGGTGTTCGATCAAGACAAATACTTCTACATGATAATTATAAGTTTGAGTTTGCTGGTTTGGATAATGTACGGACATCAGAAGAAGGTACATGTTCATCACTTCTGAGCGTTAAAGAAGAATTTGTTGTAAATAATCTTCACGTAGATGTAGCTTGTGCTGGACACGGCAAGTAAAGGTGTATTGTACTACAGACAGCAACAGACTGTTACTGACATCTGATCTGTTCACTTTACAGGAGTTTGCTGATTACTTTGCACGACAATTACAAACGAAAAAATACCAGACGGAGGAAAGTAAACACAAGACACACTCAGACACCAACCATACTGAAACACACTTAGATCCCTTTGCGGAAATTATCTGAAGTCCTAAACACATCTCATGGTAATTCTGTGAACTTCCTGCTGCATGCTGCGAGGCGATTGGAACCAAACAAGCCCATAATGTATTGTGGGTAATTAGCGCCGGCGCTACTCATGAGGACAAAGCGGTTTAATCCACGAACCTTGGGCTTTTGAATTTTGCGCGTTTAGTACTGTGGTAGAAAATTTTTTATAATTTATCGCTTAACAGCTGAATAGGACACTTAGGCTGTGAGCTTGGTCATAACATGTACGCATGGCGTAATGTTTTTTATTCTTATACAATTAGCCAAAGATTGAACGAGTCAGAAATAATATAGGTTCCCATCCATTAGAATCTGGATAAATTTGAAAATGAACACAAAGGTCGAGAGATTTCTGGGACAAAGTTTTAAGAGTTAGATTTAACAAAATAAGTTGGTACCAGAGGTGCAAACCGCTTACCTCCACACCTTTTCAAATGTCTCCGCCGAGGTTTATATTAGGTTCGTCTAACAAGGACGGCCTGTTCAAGGGGATGAATAGTAAATTTGTATAATTCGGTCAAGACTGCACACCAATCTAAGCCAAACGAGAGAGTGCGCCCCACTCTTTCCCGTTCAGCTTCCTTTTCCGTCCGTCGAACCCCCTAAATTGTCGCTCAAAATCCTGGAAATCATGTTTCTGAAGACCTAATTTTCAAAATCTCCCGGGAGAGTATGCCCTCGAACAATTTACCGAACCCCTCCTTGACTAAATCCTGGATCCGCCCAAGTACTATTTGAGGGTCTCGGAGAAAAGTTTTGTTTTGTTGTTAATAAGATTTTTTTTGCATCTTGTCCATCCTTCCTTTTTGGTGCTTCGTTTCTTTGTTCCTCTTTTGTATTTCCAATCTTTCCAGGCAACTATTTCGTAGCCTCTTCAAGATACCTCCAAAGTGATGCACGGTCTTGGAATGTAGATCCTTTTAAAGATCCTTTGCTGTGATCGGAAAAAAAGGTGCGGGGAAAAAATGTTCATTTTCAGATTTATCTGATTAAATGTGGACAGGGACAGCAACGAGACAGATTTTTCTTGAAGTAAGCCATAGCTAAATCCGAACTACGATTACTCTGAATAACTTACTACCAATTTTTACATTTCCCTTGTCCGTTTTTTATGCAATTCTTCAGTCTTTCGCACGTGTTTTCAATTTAATTATTTCACTTTCTCTCATTGCAAATCTATCAATGCTGTTAAAATGCGTTGCAAATTTTAAAGTTTGGTTTAAACTTAAAGAATTGTGGGAGGATGTTCTACCTTTTAATGTGAGTAAGCATGCAAACATTGACGTACTTCTGAACTGGTGGTAGTTGTTAACAAAAACTTTCCTTCTAAACACCCGGTGGGTAACTGTACAGGGCTCTGTATAACAGACGGCTTAGCCAGCCAAAGTACAGAACACAAATTTAAGACATTGATTCCTTGTTGCTTCCCGCTTTTACGTCATTCATTTGGCGGATGAAGCTGACATTTTTAAAGGGAGACAGGGGGGAGGGGGGTGGTGTTGAGTGTCACACCTTGGTTATCTGCCAACCGTGGCCTTTCAACAGTTTCTCATTGGCGCGAGGACACGAAAGTCGAACAATGTGAGCCTGAAGCCCAAATTTTTAGAATCTAGCAGAGTTCACCCCGCACACCGAGGCACTGACAACCTGCTCACAGGGATGTCGACATTCGAGCTGTGTTTTATTAAAATATATATTTCGTTGGTTCAGCACTAAGGAATGCACGCCGTGTTGATTCTTCGGATTCGTACTTTTCCCCTCCCTGAATTACAAGATTTTTAAAATTATCTTGTAATTCAAGAATTCTGCTGCACCGCTTAGGTTGCAGTTGACCACTATGCTGTACAAGTTTGACAACGTTGGCCGATTGACAGTACAGCCGACTATCGAAGCTAAAGCATACTATATACAGTAGAGGGGATACGTTTCTAAACTAACTGGGGTGTTACGTCGAAGGGGGAGGTATTACAAGATAGTTGGTCGTTCAACTTAGTAGACAATGTAAATTGGGCACCATAAAGAGTTTCAAAGTTTGACGTTTTTGGCGTTAGCCCTTCGTCGGAGCGGGGAGCTGGCGGTGAAAATATATACAATTTGATGGCTAAAACAAAGTGCCTTTACCTTCAATAAGCTAAGAACCATCAGTTATTAGTAAGAAATGTTCACAGAGAATCGATAACATAGAAACGAATATAAAATTAAGACTTTGCAAAAGAAGATTTCCATCGACGGATTAATGTCTAAAATAGCTTCTTAAGTAACCGAGGAATCACTGTTCGAGGTGTCCCTGTCTCTTTCACTGCCTCAAACGTTGTGCCGGCTGAAAATCAAAAGAGGAAACTCACATCAAAGCTCACACAAGTAAAAAGTCATTAAAAAGGGCATTTTTAACATTTGGATAACTCAAAATAACATCGTAGCCAGTCATCTTCGGGAAATCGTTCTGTGTGCTCAGCCTCAAAAACATTCCCCACCAAATCAAGGAGACATTCTGTATTTAGCCAACACCAGCTCAAGTCCTTAGTTTTCCTAAATAAAGGGGATACTTTTTCCACGCCCACCGATGGGTGTTCCCGTAGTTGGAGTAATTGAACGATGGGAGCTCATTTAACTTACCAAATGATTTCACTTGCTCGCTTAGGAAGCTGCTACTTGCTGCTTCATACTCCTTACTGCTATTTATAAATGTGGTGATTGTATCGGCCTGCATACAAAAAAGAGGAACATTTGCGGTCAAGCAGCTACAATGCCAAAGACATACGACAAGAACAACCTTTGTGACCTCAAAGAAGGCATTCCTGACGATGAATACGATCCGACTGTCGAAGGTATTGCTGATTTGACCAGCATGTCGAAAAAACTTAAAAAAGACAATCAAGCGAGCGAGAAATTTTATCGGAGGAAAAAAAATAAGTTGGGGGTTCAAGGCCGATGATGGCAGTCTGGTCTTTGGTCGAGTAGCTGTCATCCGTAGAGGTAAAGTTCTAGACATACTCACTTCACTCGGTGGAATGTGAGCTAATCTCTAAACATGGCAACGCAGAAAAGTTAGCAATTCTCGGATAGCCTTGACGACGAGAACGATGACAAAACAAAAGGAAACGCCAAGAAGGCAATTTTCAACCGCCTCGCGGTTAGCTCAATTGATAGAGCGCTGGACTGATGTGCGGGAGGTCGAGGGTTTGAGCCCCGGCCGGACCAACACTCAAAGTCTTAAAATAATTGAGAAGAATATGCTGCCTTCCTATAACATCAAGAAACGGTTTATATATTCTAGTCTTCTCGGATAGGGGCGAATAAATGGAGGTCCCGTCTCCTGCAGGGTTAGGGGTAGGAGACGTTAATTTCCCACGCACGAGACTACTGTGTGYTGGATGTCCTCCCCTGGGGTGGGATGGGTTGGTTGTTCGCTTGCGTTTCATACATGAGCCTCTGGCTCGGGCAATATGGGTAACCATACCCCACGTAAAGACATAAAACTTTATTACTATTACTACCATTGCTCATGGAGCTGAAGAACGATTATTTTCGTGGCGTTCTTCCATAAACAGGCCGTCGACGGATTCGTAAAGCGTTGCGATTATGTTCTGAAAACCATGAATCACGGAGATGTGATCCGCGCCCTTGATGTCGAAAACAATGGCGAAGCAGCCGGAAAGGAGAAGAAATATGATTGATACCAGAAGACTTTTTATGTTGGTGGAAAAGAAGCCCCGATGAAGAGCAAGAAAGACGAATATCGTACCTCAACAACTTGCTTTTTCAACGTTTTGTCCTCTCTAGCAGTTAGGACTGAAATGGTTCGTAGCAAATCATAGTCTATCGTCCAACTTTTTCATTAGTTAGGTAGGAAACTTTTTTCAGTACTTGCTTAGGCGAGCTAGAAGTCATTAGAACATACTTGGGTTTTGCGTCTACCTCTACACGTCAAATTGAAGTCCACGACATGTCTAAGGCAGAGCTTTGTGTGATAAAAATATCAACACAACTTTGCAGTTGTGTGTATTTCGCCGATGTATTTTGTGGATTGAGTTATTTTGAAGTAGTTCGACCTCTGACCCGAAATAGGAGAAGTTCACCTTTCTAGGTTTGTTATTATATTTTCTCTGCATCAAGCCCCGGTTGTTCGAAGGGTCGATAACGCTATCCGGTGGATAGCAGAATCCGTTTAGTTAACACTCATAAGCTGGATAGTGATTTATCCGTTGGATAACGTTATCTAGTACTCTTTGAACAACTGGACCCAGATGTATATATTAATCATCACTAAAGCTGCAACCTGTCGCACCATTTAAAGTAGATAACCTACTAGGACCAAAGGCTATTGGTTACTGTATCATATGATTGCATGGGTATAGTTAGAGGGTCATGCCTTCTCCTCTCCCCCCCCCCAAACACACACACCTTCCCAGGAATCATGGTTTTTCACAAAGTTTTTTGACCATTTTGGCTTTCCACTTCCCTTCCACACCTGGAATATGTATCAAGGCAAAGGGAACTTCACGAAAGAACATTTAAATCAATTTGAATCAAAACCAAAATTAATCCCAAAGGCAAATCAAAACAAAGTTAAATAACTTAGAAAGGAGGCCATTGAAAACTCAAAGCAAATATCAATTTCTCACGTAAGGGTCTGTTGGAAGGTGTGGTGCCCTCAAGGTTAGTGCACTCTACTCTGGCTCAAGTGGTCCAGTGCAAGCCCTGGCTGGAGACATTGTGTTGTGTTCTTAGGCAAGACACTTGACTCTCACAGTACCTCTCTTCACCCAGGTGTTTAAATGGGTACCTGTGAATTTAATGCTGGGGGGGAACCCTGTGATGCATTAGCATCCCATCTAGGGGGAGCAGAAATACTCCTTGTTGTATCGTGCTACAGAAACTGGAGTTAAGAGCTGGCCTGATGGGCCATTTGGCTCATAAACAGACTGTACCCATTCAAGGGACAAAGTGTGTAACCAAGAAGTGATTGATTTCAATTTTTACACAACACAAGTTTCTTAGGTCCATCACAAAATGTAATGTAAATCAAATCCAAAGCAATCTTAACACTCAATTCAAATCTGGTAGTCTCAAAGATTTCCAACATAAAGAACAGAAATGAGTGTTATCCTGTTTATAGCAATTTCTGTACCTGCAATATCATTTGGAGTTTTGTTTCATGAAGTCTATCCATTAACCCTTTCAATGATGGCTTTCCAGAGAGCAGCTGGTGCTGTTCAGGGGATAGGAAGTCTGGACACTGATCTGTGGAATTCACATCATCTTGGTGTTCTCTGAAACAAAACAAATTTTTTAAATGAAACAAATTAAAAACCAGCGCTTACTGATTTTAATGTGTGACAATGATACTTTGCATGAAAGAATAGTACAATTGCTGGAGATTACTTGAGAGGAAACAGATTGGTAAAAAGACAGTACATGGCTTTTTTACGTGTTTGTAGATCCTCAGTTAGAGCTGGTTTATCATTACAACCTTAATTAATGGATCACTGCTCTTCCAATTTATTCCAGTTTCCATGAAATAAAGCAACTATGTGTACTGCTTCTACACCTAGTTAGAACACTACAGTGTAATCCACAATGCTTAATTATTTTCCTCCAGTAAAATTTAAAGTGTCAGTTTGTTGATAACTTTTTATACTTGGTTGAAAGAAGGACATTGATTCTTAGTGTGTTGGCTACAAACAAAACTTAATGACCCAGCCAAGGCTCCAACCTACACTCCTTGTGAAATTTAGCCTATGAACTACTACATTGCATCTCTTTCTGTGCCAGGGATTGTACTAACTATCAAAAAGAAATTTGAGTTTGCAAAAAGGGTAATATTGCCTCAAAATGGCCCAGCAGAGGAATGAATGATTGAATGCAAAAGAGAATATACTGCACAGCCTCTATTTCACAATAATATTTGTTGAGAATTTGCATAGAAACAGCACTTTTCTTTTTTGTTCATGTACCTATCTTTTTGTCCCATATCACTTTGATGCGATGATAGTAATTTATCCCACTTCTTGTTCTCTGTCTTCAGCCTGATAAAAATGATAAAGTGCAGACTAATTCACCTTTTAAAGATGATCTTTTAATTATTGTCTTTGATTGGCAAAGATGAATTATCATCTACTGCCCCAAAAGAAAAGAATTCTGCAACAAGAATTTACTATTTTCCATCCAACAGAAAAATCATATGTACTTTTTTTGGTAACCCTGCATTTTGGAGTGACTCAAAATATTCACCTTTGAACTATCTGGTGTGATTTCTGTGAATAACTCAATATGAAATAGGATTTGAAAAGACAATGTTTTTTTCATTTATTTCTTCTGCTTGAACAGCACCATAAGTATAAAATGGTCTTAAGTCTCTGTCTTCAACTCCACTGCATAGAAAGTTAACCAAGTGACTTTTGTTGGGACCACTTAACATCAAAAAATGCAAAAATCTGCTCTCAGCAGATATTTATTCTTATTGCAAGCAGGAAAAATTTGCAAAGAAAAAAAAATCCCCTTCCAAAAATACCACTGCTCCACAAGTTGTCACAGTTATGCATTTGACTAATATCCTTAAAGTGAAGAATGCAAGAGCATTACATTTAGTTGTTGTAAATGCATATATTATAATGATTGTATAATAATTGTACCTTTCAGTAACAGCCAGCCTCGATCTTGCTTTAGCCTCCAGTTCTTCGTTTTTAGGGTTAGGTGTCTGCCTGTAGGAAAGAAAAAAAATCACTCATTAGGTAACATGGATCTGCACAGATGACCAAGTAGAATAAGCACTGCCCCAAAATGAAGCTTTTTTAGTCACAAAAAATCAGAAAATGATTGCTAGGAGTAAACTTTTTACTAAATAGTATCCAGCAATCATTTTTAAGACTTGCATGCATGAGAAATTTCTAGTTTGTGCACTTGCACATGTGAGGAGAAAGAAGCAATGATGTCCAGCACTAATCATTTCATACAAATGTTAATCATGAAAATCACTTAATGAAAACAATACAGCAAGCAACTTGTCTGTTAAACACAGATCACCAACTTGGTAACCTTTGTTACCTTTTTTTCCCATTGTGGATTCCAAAATGGTCACAACTTGAAGCACTGTTAAGTATGTTTATCAGAGCACAGGCGGCCCAAGCTCTTTTTGAGAACCACACAAGGAACACAATTTGCATATTTATAAAGATTTGTATGGGATTTTCTACAAGATATCCACAGAGATAGTTAAAAGTGAAAATATTAAATAAAAATGGCTTACCTTGTTCCATACGTGTGTTGTTTGCTCTTGGTGTCGTTATTTTAATGATTCCACTTGATTTAAGCGGTTTTTTTTAATCCTGGTTTTCTACCAAATGAAGAGAAGTTTTCTCTTAGTGTGGTAGAAAACCAGGATTAAAAAAAAACAACTTAAATCAAGTGAAATCGGTAAAATAACGACATCAGGAGCAAACAACACACGTATGGAACAAGGTAAGCCATTTTTATTTAATATTTTCACTTTTAACTATCTCTGTGGATATCTTGTAGAAAATCCCATACAAGTCTTTGTAAATATGCAAATTGTGTTCCTTGTGTGGTTCTCAAAGAGAGCTTGGGCCGCCTGTGATCAGAGATGATGTTTGTTTCTTCATCATTCACATTCCTGTTATACACTGCCGATCTTTTTGTCTCTATGATATGATGCATTAGGGTGCTGTTAGCCCCCATTTACAAAATGTCAGAAAAAAATTACTCCTGTGGCTAATTGCATAGTAGAAGGCTAATCCAGTTAATACTAACAGCAGTATCAATAACAGATTTTGTTTCTTGTTTCTTCATTCATTTTCTACTTACTTTACTTCACTGGGAGTAGGTTTAAAAGCTTCATCCACAATATTGCTGTCTGATATCACTGTTTGCAGATGGCCGAACACTTCTTTTGCTGAAGAAATGAACAGAGAACAACAGTTCAAATTTGTTTTATAAACTCTCAAACACCACATGCCTTTGCTTAGGTGAGAATGATTAACTTGGAACTTTATGCCACATTATTCTAGGTAATTTCAGCAGCAAAGAGATTATCTCAAATACATGTTGTCTCAATGAAATTTTAAGAAATAATTTGCTTAGTTAAACAAACACCACAGACTGAGGTAAGAATACACCCCTATACCTAGACAATGATTAAGGAAGATAACTGTGAAGATGGAGAGCAAATAATGTCCTTCAGATGAAAATTTCAACCCCAAAAATTTCAAAATGAATTAGCTGTGATGTATAAGTAGCTCTTTAAACTCAGGATTTTATACACTGTAGCACTGAAAGCCAGAGGAGAGTGGAGAAGAACCTCCTAATGAAGCAACACTTCTGTAATGCCTAATCCTTTCATTAGATATCCAAGTGTATTCACTAAATTCTATACCTTCTGTAGTAAAGTTTGGTATTCCATCCACTTCATAATGTGATGGATTATTTTCCAGTTTCTCCATTGCTCCCTAAAAACAAGAAATAAAAAAGGAGCTTGGACTGGCTTTTTTGAAATATTAATGGATAAATGAGCATTCTTTTCTTTTGATTACAAAATATCATTGGGAAAGCCATCTGTCTTCCCTTCCATAATCAGCTGCTTCAAACTAAGAATTAGAGGGGAGAAGGGAAAAGCAAACTGTGATCTGTGAAACTCAAAGATCTATATAATTTCATATCAAACACAAGAATAATTTGCATTAAGAGGAACTTGAGGCTTCATATCATGCATCCACTCAATCATGGTTGCTACATGTACTTGCTAGTAATAATTTGAATTCAAGTAGCTGGCTGACAAACTCAAATTTTCAACAAACCCAAATTGTAGGGCACAATTATATCTTATTAAACAAAAATCACGAGGTGATCAATTAACATTGACATGGGTTGGTGAGAAGTTCTGTTTCTGTTATCCACAATAAAATGTAAAATTATTTCAGTTCTGTATATAGGAAAGCATTCCATACTAGTCAACTTTTTGCTAATCAACAAATCAGTCACAATTTGGAAACAATAGGGTCTAAATATCTATACACACCGCTTTATTTTTAACTCCTTGGAAACTTTACAGACTGTTCCTGGATGGACTTATCAAAATATCAGGTCTTCAATATGGCTTGCAATTATCACCTTCTGACACAACTCAGATCAGATCAGCCCATAACATTTTAGCATGTTTCAGAGTTTACCTTAAGACAGGCACCAAACAACTTTTTTAGTCTTTCCTCAGGTGTCAAATCTGTAGGAATATCTTTATAAAGCTCTGCAGCACAACATGGGGTAAAAATGATAGGTATAAGTCTAAGGAGAGCAGTGCCCTTTTAGTGCTGAAGCTTGTCAGTGTTTCTGTAGCATTAGACACCTTGAACTACAGTATGAATTTGTTTGGGTGGGATGCTGTTCCCATTAAAAATGTCCCCTGAGCATTTTGTCAAGATTTCCAATTATAGATTGGTGATACATATTTACCTTCTTGAGTGGTGAGAAAGGCAGTGTCAGAGAAAAGTATCTTGTGTAACATCAGAACAGGTTATTGGTATCATGTATGAAGCTTATCCCTCTTCATATGTAGTCCAGCACACTCAAAGAACTTACTATTACTGAGAAAAACATGTGGCAAGAAATTGTGCATAGCCAAGATTTAACCTTGACAGAGGTATCTTTACTACCTTTGCTTAGATGCATGCACAAGTAACAGGAAATAAGAGATATCTCCCTTCAGGCTATTGTGGTATTACTTGATTTAATTAAAATACTAGTAGTTAGACAAATAAATTATGGTTCACAAACCAGACTTTTTCGATGAAAACACAAGAGACTTGCGCTCCTTCCTCCCTCTAACAAAGCTTGATCTTCTTTTCTTCTGTTCATTTTTCTTTGCACTTCCCTTTTTCTGGGGAGCCTGAATTAAAAAAAGGTCATTGTACATCTTAGTAACTGGGAGTATGTCTCCTCTAAAGTGATGGAATGCTAGTGCATCATGAGTCGCCCCCAGCCTTTTTAGTCAGGTTTCCTTGACAGAGAGAGGCACTGTGAAATCAGAGTGGCTTGTTCACCAACACAACACAATGACCTAGCCATTGTAAGGCCCCAAGTAATCGAAAAAATTAACAAAATATAAAATTCCTCAATGCAGATAAATTCCTAAAAAAATAAAGAGTTAACAGTATTCCACCTTTCGGAAGCGACTCTGGCGTGAAAACTTGAATCCACTTGCTTGTAAGTCCAAATCCTTGGAGATGAAGTAACAATGTTTTTTTTATTGCAGTTGATGGTTGATAGTTGAGAAAAATAAACCATTGAAGAAAACATAACAGAACTATTTTGAAAATACATGTATCTTGAGAAAGACTTTTAATTCTGAGCTTGCTAGTTAAATGTTATGTAGAATGATGTTCAACTTTTGTCAGGGGCATAATTCAAAGAAAGAAAGAAATCTAGGTCTTCTATATCTTCCAACTGGTTCACAACAGGGCAGGCTACTCCTGAAGGTAGCTTAATTAAGAAGATATATGTAGTTCAAAACAGACAGATATAGTGGGAAGTTTCCATGAACTATGCTCTACTGGAAGTCAAAAGGAATCTGTCAAGTCACAGCCTGGCTACAGATGAGAAACTCCACAACAAGTTTAACATAGTTTGACAACCCTTAAACTCGTTTTATAAGGTATAAGTGATAGTTATCATTAAAATATAGCAAAGTCCATAAATTACCTCTGGTTCCCCTTCTATTCGTTTGGTTCTTTTTCTATAGCCAGAGAAACCACAGTTAAGCAAGTGTTCCTTGGTGTAACCCATGCATGCATTTACTAGCTTTTGTCATTATTCATCTTAGGCTAATAGCAAAATATATCCATGTTTTATCAAGACCCTTCAGTGAAAGTTCTCTGAATCCCTTCAACTCCCAGAAGTGATTACCCCGAGCTAACCGCCTCCCGGTTAGCTCAATTGAGCTATTGAGTTAGCAATTGAGCTAACCGCCTCCCGGTTAGCTCAATTGGTTAGAGCGCCGGATTGTGTTGTGCGGGAGGTCGAGGGTTCGAGCCCCGGCCGGACAAATACTCATGGTCTTAAAATAAGTGAGGAGAATTTGCTACCTTTCTATAATATCAAGAAATGGATAGATATTCTAGTCTTCTCGGATAAGGACGAATAAACCGTAGGCCCCGTCTCCTGCAGGGTTAGGGGTAGGAGACGTTAATTTCCCACGCACGAGATTACTGTGTGGTGGATGTCCTCCCCTGGGGTGGGATGGGAGGGAAGGTGAGATCGTTACATGGACTGAAGCGGCTGCCAGAGGCGCCTGATAATGCTGACGTTCGATCTCAACCTTATCATTGTAACTAGACACGTTTGTTGTTTAGAGTGCTTGAGACTTTCTTTCTACTTTCTTTCTACCCCGTAACCTCTCTACAGTCTGCAAGCCATGCTGGCCTAAGACATCTTCATGTACACTGATGTACATAATAAAACATACAAATTAACCCCACAGACTCCTCCCCCAAAGGAAGAGTTGTAGATACGCACTGAGGCGCAACAGTGATTTCACTCTCCCCATATGCAAAACCGAGCGCTTGAAGAACAGTTTTATTTTTAGCCATATTTATAAGATGTACATAATTTTCATTCTTTCTTAACGACGAATTTGTAATATTTTATACCTCCTTTTTTATCATCTGTATTTGTAAATATTCCGTAATTTAGCCTATGGCTGCAAGGTGTTTATAATAAAGTATCTATCTATCTAAGTATCTATCTATCCACATATCAAATAATCATTTCGAAAGGTCAGACTAGAGGCATATTTAGCGTCCCTAGCAATTGAATCATTTGTGAGCTATTTAAAGCTCCCAAACTCATATACAGCTAAGACAAATCTAATGAAATCTGCACACTTACCTCGTTGATGCTAACCTCACAGTCGCCATCTTGAATTTAGCGCCGTGGAGCGAGTTGTGTCTTGCGCATGCGTATATGAAAGTTTTGCTTAAAGCCCGCCAGGGAGGGGACTGGGAGCTGGATTAGTTTCCGGGTCGCATGACATCAGGAAAGTTTTTTGGACGGACGCAGAACTGTGAGTTTTAGTTTCTCATTTCCGTCTGTAGGCTAGCCTTAAGGCGACAACTGATCGAACCCAATGGCCTTGTTCTATGTGAGTTGTGGGTAATCTGTGCGAGAAGATCACGTCGACCATTCAGTCTGTAATATGGCACTTGTGGCGAGACGTGAAGAACCTAAAACCCAACTGTGCTAAGCCAGTATGGGTCAGCAGCCAGTTAAAGCCTTGACGGATCGATCAAAATCTGGGAAAACGACTAAGGTGTCTGTGAAGAGCAAAGAAGCTGAAAAGTCAGAATTTCATATTGCTGCAGGTAAGATGAAATAAGATATGACGATCTCTTTCAATTCCGAATCGGATGTATTTGGTATCTGATAAACCTCAAATACAAATGTGGTAATGTGTTTGAACTGTTTGAATATGTAAGTTCGTTGTGGAATTTGATCAAATATCTGCTGACCGTAGGCGTGTTAAGCGAATACATAACTGTACGTCTACTGACGTACAAGGAAAGTTTTGTTTCCCCGAGCAATGCGATCTTTACCTTCCTTGTTATTTGTAGAAAAAGAAAATTAAAAGCGGAATGCGTCGGAAAATGTCCAGCAGCGGCTTCAGGTTGTGATTTCGCACGCAAAATGTACACTACATTTTTAATGGTTAACCAATCCCTTTCTTGTAATCGTACCTTGGTTTGTAAAAGTCTGTAGCTCCAGACAACGTTAATTCAAGCGAAAACTTTGCCAATTGATTGTAATATGTATGATTTACCTTCCGTCACTTTGACCTTGAGGAATTGATCATTCTCAAGTGTGTTGTGAAAACAAACTGCTGAAGGTTGAAGGTTGAGCATTTATCAGCATCTAAAAACGTGCGAGACAGGGTGCATGCGTCAAAAGTTATCATGTAACCTAGCGTTTACTGTTGTTTTGATACTGGCCTCCAGAGTGAAATGCTTTCGTTTCCCAAGCTGTAATTTGAACACTTCCTTTCTAATATGTGTGCATTAATTTATCGTTTGTTATTTATATAGTGTGTATGACAGCCAAAATAAAATATTTCCTTATCATTAATCTGTCCAATTAGCGTTAGAATATTTTTCAGCGAGCAATACAGACTGAAAGTAATTTTCATCCTTCAAGTATTTGAAGTCTGGAAGACAGATTAAGTGGGTTTTAGCTGTCCTGTAATATCATAACTGTTCCCCATTCTTTGAAGCTACCTGGCATTTTAATAGAAATGCCAATGTATAATTTTTTTGAGTACCCTATATAGTGGATAAGAGTACAAAGCTGTCGCAATTTCACTTCCTCCAACATGTGATAAGTGTAAATTTGTTCAGTATTATTTGTTACGACTGGCTCTGGATGAAAGAGGATTGATTTACAGCAATTTAGAGGTCTTCATTCTGTTTGAGCTCAGTTTTTTCTTATAACTGATTGACATTGAATTTACTCTTGTGATAACAAATATGCATAGTATTTGTCTGCAATCAACTAAGAATTAGTGTTAATCGCCTTTCATAAAACTGGGAAAAGAGGGTTTCTTTAGATCCCCTTGTGGCTTTTTCTAATACCAGCTGCAGTCTGTACATCAAATTTTCTTGTAAGTGGAAACAACAATAAGCAACTTGTAATTACAGTGCTCTAAATTTGCCATGAAAATTTGAATAACTTTCTCTTTCATTTACTTCTATAGTAGACCTTGCAAAGCGACCTTTGCCTGAAACACCATTGGAGAGGTCTGTTGGAGAATGGAACTCCAAGGATGACCTACTTACAGATGATCATCAGGATAAATCAATATTTATTGCAATTCATGACTTTCAAGCTGCTGGCAGCAATCAGTTGACTATTCGAGCAGGAGAAGAATTAGCCATTTTGCGTTACAATGACACTGAAGAATGGTGTGAAGGTCAGGCTAGAAACGGAAACATTGGCTGGTTGCCAAGTAGTTATGTGAAACCTGTGAACAGCTTGGAAAAGCATTCTTGGTATCATGGGCCTATTTCTCGTAATGCAGCAGAATATTTACTTAGCAGTGGAATTAATGGAAGTTTTCTGGTTCGTGAAAGTGAAAGTAATCCTGGACAGCTATCCATCTCATTGCGGTTTGATTCAAGAGTGTATCACTACAGAGTCAGCCATGCTCCTGATGGCAAAATGTATGTCTCCACCGATAATAGATTTACATCAATTGCGGAGCTTATTCACCATCATTCTGTGCATGCAGATGGACTTGTGACAACTCTTCATTATCCTGCAGCAAAGACTGATAAACCCACTATTTATAGTTTTTCGCCTGAACCAGATGAATGGGAAATACCCAGATCAGAAATTGCCATGAAACATCGGCTTGGTGGGGGGCAGTATGGGGAGGTTTATGAGGGAGTGTGGAAGAAGTACAACAGACCAGTGGCTGTGAAGACTTTAAGGGTGGGTAAATCATGTGCTTTGTTATATTTTGTTGAAGTTCTTTGCTTACATTTGTTTTTTGTCCTAGAGACATGTGATATGTTGGTGCAATCTAGCCTAGAATTGCCATGCATTGAGATATGTTATATGAAATGAGTTGTTCCTGAGGAACTTGTCAATTTTTTTTTTGGGGGGGGGGAGGTACACCCCTGTAGGGTGGGAATGGGATGACCTATTAGAGAATTTTTAATAGGAAATCCCTCCCCCCCCCCCCAATGAGAAGGCATAGACAGGACCATGTTTGACTCCAAATCTAACTTGAACAGAAATGTGCCAAAATGGTTGGTTGGTTTCGAGATACTGTTTACTTAAAATAGAGCATCATAATCTCAAGTTTGAGATGGGGGAAAGAGAGAATTTCCTGAGTTTTGTGCGAGATAGCATGACTTTTGAAATAATTATTTCAACAACTAAGGGAAAATGAAAAAGTTATCCAGAAAAAACTGGGCTGCTTTTATTTCTGCATGGTTCATCAAATGATGCATGTATACTTACATAGCCCTAAGCTTATGACAGTGTATTGGCACCAGTACAATACTTTATGGCATAAGCACCACCTTTGCATTCTCACATGAATTTAAATAGCATGAACCCCTTCCCTACCACAGCCAGACATGTTCTCCAACTGGCATCGATATTGAATTTTGTCTCAACAACCACAGATAATTTATCCAAGCCATCCCAAACAACCCCGGGCTTTCTCTCTTTTTAATTTGAGGATGTATTTGTATGTCCTCAGTTGTTGAGTGACATAACATAGTAGGTATATATACCTCTTTGGTAAGGAAGGGGTTAAGGTCAGTAAGAATGGCACTTAGGTTATTAGTGTGGTGGCTTTAAGGGTGAGGAGGTAAAGAACAGTTTTATAAAATGTCTAATAACAGCACAATTTGGAAAGGCTCTTTACTCACTGAATTATGAATCATCTGATTTAGGAAGAGACAATGGAGGTGGATGAATTCTTAAAAGAAGCATCAGTCATGAAAGAAATAAAACACCCACGACTGGTACAGCTCCTAGGTGTCTGCACAAGGGAGCCACCATTTTACATCATAACAGAGTTCATGGTTAATGGCAATTTGTTGGACTATTTACGAAGCACTGCAAGCAAGGATTTGAATGCTGTCACATTGATGTATATGGCAACACAAGTAGCCCATGCTATGTCATATTTAGAATCAATGAATTTTATCCACAGGTAGGAATTTGACTTTGTTTAATACTCAGCGAAGAGCAGAGAGGTATAGGAGTTTTTGTACTGTAACTACAAGTATTTTCTTTCAATTGCTCAATTCTAAACATTCTTTAATTGTGCTAAAAATAAACAAAATGGCCAAAATGTGTAAGGACTGGAATGTATATTGGTACATATATTCATTTAAAAAACTAACTACAAATAATGATTTGAGAAAAAAGATAATTGAAGATATTATGGAGCAAAGTCTGAGGTAACTTTATAAGTGCATGTGGTTTCTTTCAGTTTGCTTAAATAAAGTTCCTGTTGTGGCAAAATTAGAACAATTTTTACTCCTTTTATACTCCTCTCCCAGATGAAGAGAGTCAAAGTGAGCCCCACCTAACATGACTCTACCTACACGTACGACTCTAATCTATATCCCAGGATTAGGAGTTAAGCATGTTACTCTCACTGATGGACGTCACATCTCTTGATTTTTATATAAATTTCCCTCTTAACATGTCTCTTCTGTACCTGCATGTAGAACACTGGTCTAGAACTCTGAATTAGGAGTTTAGCATGTTACTCTCACTGATGGACGTCACATCTCTTGATTTTTTATATTTCCCTCTTAACATGTCTCTTCTGTACCTGCATGTAGAACACTGGTCTAGATCTCTGAATTAGGAGTTTAGCATGTTACTCTCACTGATGGACGTCACTAGAG